CATAGAAGATCCATTGTAGGTCAATCTCTCCACCACCGCAAATTAGGTTTTTCCAGGTAAAATATTTTTTCCAGGTAAAACCATTCCCAAAGGCCCAGCTCTCCCATGATGTCTAGTACTTATCATCCATTACATACAGGTAAGGGCTATTTATTCTTCTGCTCATCCCCTTCTGTCTTTGTCCCTATCCCTCTGAACCTTTTCCTTCACAGGTTTGCTTGGGTATTGCTCTAATTTGTCTTCGAGGAAGGATAAAGATGAAACCTGATATTGTCAGTAAGACGCTGGAAGAACTTTATTGAGATATCATATCCTGAGTTCACCACTGCTTTCCTGTGAGGCTGCAAGAGAAGCATTAATTTCAATGAAATCCAAGTTTCACTGGAGTAACAGCAACCCTCCTCACTAACTTTCCTTCAAGGCCTTCTCCAGTGAATTTCCACATCTCTGAGGTTTCTTTCCTTTTCATCAGAACAGCCAGTGTAGCCTGCAGCTGCTACAGGCAAGAAAGCTAGCTCTTACCTAATCCAGTGGGACAGAATCTTTCACAGATCTCACTGTGATAATTTCAAAAAATTTAACTATTAGTAAATTCATCTTATAAATATGACCTGTGAGTAGGTAAGTATGTATAAAATTGTTTGCATTTGATACATGTCCTTGTTCCCAGCCATTGAATTTCACTTTTCTTCTGAAGATCTGATCCTGCAAATACTCAAATGCAAGAATAATTTAATATGTGATCAACCATGACAGCATCTATGGGACTATTCAAAGGACTTCATGGCTGGATTGTGTATGTGTAACACAAGGCAATTATATATATTTCACATACTCAGCTACTGATACAGCTTTAATGTGCTCTAGGAACTGAAGAGGTAAGCTTATACAGACTTATCCATTCTATCAAGAGACTGATAATTTCTCAGATGATCCACAAAGTACCAAATATGATCATCTGAATTAGCTAGCAGTTCAGGAATATTGATTTTAAATTGGCCTGGATAGGCTTCAACCTGAAATACATTAACTGTAATCTGCCTGCAATAGGCTACTAATAACCTGAAATCTCTAAGTTGGCATTTCATTGTTAATAAGCTAGACAGTGCATGTTTGGCATGCAGAAGTATCCTGGTGTCCCTAAATAACTTGTGATTTTTGTGTTGGTCTGTTGGATCATTAGGTACTGTAAACAACATACAAGCAAACACATTAACTACAATGTGGTAAGAAACAGTTCTAGCACACAGAGAAAATTACTTCCTTAAAGGCTAGGGAAAAACATCTCTGGCATGAAACAGTGACTGCTGGTCATGGAATTTTACAAAGTGTTTTAGTATCTATCCCTTTTTCAACCACAAGGAGACAGCAGACTTTCTAACGCATTTTAACAGCAATGCCATTTTTAGGAATATATTAAATAATTAACACTAGTGTACAGGCAGTAATTTGCTAAATGCTTTTCAGCTGTACAGAGACAGAGTTCTTTCCAAAACAAAACTAAAAATTAGCACCCAAATGCTAATTAGCAGAGTAGAAGACACATTCTTCTGACCTTCTGTCAGATAAAGCTTTCTTCACTGCTTGTGCTGCATCCCTCTTTCTGTGGCTTACAGTTCAACCATTTAGCTTACTTCTTGTTTTCTACAGAAAATGAATTTGTTTTCTATGTCATAGCATTTTTCTCTTTCTAGCACAAGAACATTGTATTTAAAAAAAATTATATAATACTCTATTTGCATTTTTAATATGTTTTGTTTATTTTAAAAACCAAGAGCTGATTCTGCACATTACTGATGCAGAAAGCATAGTAATGGAAAAACAAGCCTTTATTTGTCAGCTGAAATAATGCGTGCATTCAACCAAATTTTTCCTTTTAAATTAGAAATTAGAAAGTTAAATGTACATGCTAAAATAAGCTAAAACAAAAAGAGGAGGTGACTAGTGCACTAATCTCCATTTAGTTGGATACCTAAACTTCACATGGTTATTGTGGGACCTGAATGTTAAGGTCTAGGAGAATACTTTGAAACTCAGGATTTTAGTATTAATTTAATTTCCAGCTGAATCCTTGAGTTAGGTAAGGGATAGAGAGCAAGTGGTGAAGAGATATATTTTTTAAAAAAATCACCAATGGTCTTACAAACTGCTGAATTTCATAACAGTCTTAGGTCAGACATGTAGTCTTGATTATTTATTTAGTAATTCACATGTAAATGTGTAATTTACACATGAAATTCATGTGAATTCACAGTAATTCACATGAAATCGCTTGTCTTCAATAATGCTTTAATGTTAATTTCATAGCTTGCATTCTTGTAAAATGTTGGAACTTTTATCAAGACATCTTCAAATGTTTGGCCTTTTGACAGGTTTGCACAAGTCCTCAGTGAATGTCATACACCTTCACATAGATACAGGATACATATCCATGGAGATAATAGATGGAAAGTTCACTAACATATGCACATTATTATATCAATCAATTTAAAAGATTTTGATTTAAGCAATTAAATAATACTAGTGTGTAATGCAACAATCTCAGTATAACAGTTCTTGCATTTTTACACTAAATGTAACAGAAGACTGCAGCCCTGATAATAAAATGCTTGGTCCTATGAAGACAGAAATAAAAAATTTTACTAGCTTGCTGATAGTTTGATTCAGAAGACATGGGATGCATACAAAATCTGGTTTTCAAAACCTATGGGAAAGGCAGTGGAACAGGCAACTGAGATGAGGCTTCTGAGACAGTAGTGCTTCCAGCTCTGCAGCCCATGGTGGACTGAATCGTCCTCCTTAGTGCATTGAAACAAAAAAAAAGTAAAAAGATAAAAAAGAGGGAAAGAGGAAGGGAAAGGGAAAGAGAAAAGCTAACCAGATAGCCCAAAGGTCAGCACTTGTCTTGATTGTGCTCAGAGCTGGTGGTTTTTGCATCAGGCCACTTCTCCTCCATTGGGTTTGTCCATTTTCCTCTTATGTAGCAAGGAAACATTTGGGCTTTCACTATGAAACAAAAGTTACTGGTGAAAGTGTACTTTCACTAGAAACAAAACTAAATGCTACAGATTATTTACAAAAGCAAATAAAAAGGACCTTAAAAAAAAGAAAGAAAAAATATGTGGGAAAGAGCATTCAGAAGTGGAATCATTGCCAGGCAATGGCCAGAGACTAACCTAATTCTCTGGAATTCTTTACCTGTGCTTTGGATGTGATTCTGTTAAGGCAAAAAAAATGACTTGAACCATTCATTTCATTGTAGATTCTAAAAGGATTTTATCAAACAACAGATTTCTCCTGCCAACTGTATTTGGCAAAAAGGCATAAGTGAAATCAAATGGATTTCTTGCAAATTACAAATACACAGACTGAAGTAGAATAAATTTTAGTTTCAAACTCCTTTCTTAAAAGAAATTTTGGGCTTACACTCTTTGGTCTTGTAACATATTAAGAACAATAAGAGATTCATTTTAATACAACTTCATTTCTTGGATAAGAAGACACATTTAATTTTCATCCAACCCAATTCAGCAGCAGCTAGGGCAGAAAAAAATCCTGTATTCCAGAGGACTGCCCAGTTTCTTCAGCCTCATCATTTCTCCCCCAACTGGCCTCCAAGCCCCAGCTAACAATGCTGGCTTTGCTCATGGTGCAAACTAGTGCAGGGCAGGGGATGCCTGATGGGTACATAGAATTAAAAACCCCTTTTCCCATAAAATGCTGTTTTTTCAAATAGTGTTGTTCCCATCTGTGTAACAGTTTTCATTCTGCATGTTTAAAAGTAAATCTGGAAAGACTTTGTAACTAGGTTTAAATACTCACTAATTAACTACAACTAGGCTAATATATCCACCTCTAATTATTGCATGATTAAAATAATAATGGTAGGCTTTTTGGACTAATCAAAGAGAAATGAATGTTTAACTGAACATTTCACAAATGTTTCATATCAATCAGCAAATAAAAAACACTTGAATTTTTATTACAGTATTTACTTGTGTTACTGAGAGCTCTTTAAGGCACCAATGAATACAACAAACACATTTATTTACAGCACATTTGCTCTCACTAGGATGGAAGTGTGCACAGGGAAACAGAAAGTGTTCCCTGGGATGTCTTAGTAAAAAAATATGTAAATAGTTGGGAAAACAAGAACAGCAGCATATCACAGCAGCAAACTTCTAAAAGAAACCTAAATTGTTGCTGGTGGGTTTTTCCCCTATTTAAATAGACAGGTGAAAATTCCCCTTTAGGACAGTGCATGCAGAGCATCCATGGTTTCTGGACGAAAATTGCTGTACAGGCTGGGTTCCAAAAATACTGTGGCTATAATAAAAAATTAGATAACAAGTATGTGAATAACAAAACTGAAATCCCTAAAAATAATTATATTCATTTGATAATTGCATGAATGCAAGATAAATATTGTCCTTTTAATTTGTGCTCTGACCACTGAAGATGCAGTTTTATGAACAGCTTTCCAGTAGCATCTGGATCTATGCAGTGACTTCTCTGAAGTTGCTGGATAATTTGTCAAATTACATTTCAGGTGGATTAAACCCCCAGCCCAGATCACCAGCCACCCACAGTAAACAAGTGTTTATTCAGGGAAAAAACCTAAGGAGAGAGAAAGTAAATAAAGGTGAAAAGACAGATTTTCTACTGGCGTAAAGTACAGCATCACTTTCCTTTCTTATTTTCCTTGGAGATGCTCAAATTCCTGTATAATTGCATTCTTTTTAGTGCTGGAGAGCTAAAAATCACAGCAAAGGAAATAGACTTGCAATAACATGAGCAGATGTGGCTCAGTATTCAGACTCCTCACCTAACAATCTCTCCAAAAAATGCAATTTAACTCTAGAAAGACATACCAGTTAATGCAACCTTATGGTAACCTGCTGTATGGTTCAGATAATCTATTTGAAATCTGAAGTGATAGATAAGACCTCAGTTTGTCACATCTTCCCCTACAGGTGTGTGAAGAAAAAACCAGAACTCACCATTATTCACCAGGACATGGAGTGGACAATTCTTTGCTCTAAACTGCTGCACAAATCGCCGTATAGACTTCATGGAAGCCAAATCACAGTATAAAAACTCCACTAGGAGAGAAGAGAAGATAAAAACAGAGTTAAGTCACTTACAATGATATAAAAACACATAGACATCAACAAGGACTGTTGTGATAATGTCACTAGTAGAATAAAAGTTTTAAAAAGAAAACAGACTTTTCAAAATCCTGGATGAAGCTGGTCTCAGGTTCTTTCTTTCTCCTTCTTCCCTGCATTTCTATTTTTAAACTACTGATTCTTCACAGAGCAAATATGGGAAACGTGGCTGTCAGGAGGTGAAGGAGGGCATCAAATGAAGTAAATATGCACCAGTCCTACCGTTCTTACTACTGCTAGCATTTAAGAAGAGGAGCTACAGTCCTGCAGCACTGAGATGATCAGGATATGGCAGCTGGAAATCAAACAGGGAGAGGAGAAGGCACATCAGACACTGCAAAGTTTCCCTGTGCTTCTGATACAAATATGCTGTCCTTTGTTTTTTCCCCAAGATTATCTGCTAAGTACCTGTGGTTGGAATAGTTTATAAATGCTTTATTGCCAGTAGGAGAGATGAGCAGCAGCACACCCTGAACACAGCAACTCCACTCATCACTACAAGAAAACAGAGCATCACAAATAATGCTCTGGCTCCTATAGGCATCCAGGGACATTTGGTATCCTGGGAACAACAACCAGCCATGAAAATACCTTGTAAATGTGGGTAAGAGTTGTGCTGGCCCTTGGCTTTGGCAATGGCAGTGTGATTTGAGAGGAACAGAGCTCACACAAATATTGTGGGGGGCATCCTGCCTGTGCTGCTGATGTCACTCCAAGGGCAGGGTGGCAGGGGGCTGGAAATCCAACAACCAACAAGACTTCTCAAGGGGCAGGGTGTCAGTCTCAAAATACATTTGGCACCAGTATGTCTGTATTGCTAAGAAAACACGCATCAAACAGGAGTCTGTCTTTTTGTCCAAAGCATTACTCAGCCATTGACCTGCACTAAAATGCTAGAAAATTAATTAGTCAAAATAAAAAAATATTACTTAAATCCACAGCAGCTTTAAACCCATCAGGTCTTAAAATTCTTCTACTGCAATTTTTCAGTTTTCAACCCCGGGCTCTCACAGCACTGCCTCATTGATTGCCTTGCCTTGCATGAAGCCATGGCCAGTGTTATGAAGTGAAAAGAAGCACTGGCCCCTGCCAACAGCAGTAGCTGTCCCCACACAAACAATCCAAATTCTTTAGAAGCTCTGCAAAGGGAAAAAGAAAGAAAGTTATGACCTTGTCCGACTGTTTTAGCCTTTAAAAAAAGTATATTTTGCATGCCAGGCTTTTGGCTTGTTTCAGCATTAGCTGTACTTTAAAGAAGAGAATATGATGCTCTGCCACAGATATTGGTCTCTCTTCTGGTTTCCTACTTGTCACTGTGGGAGCCCAAGTCAGCCAACTGTTGTCAACTCCACCCTGCCAAGACACTGGGGCTCTGAGGTGGATTTGCTTGAACCTCCTCCATAAAGTGACTTTTCCAAAGAAGATCAAAAGGTGTTTCAAATTGAGAAAATCAAACAATACTGAGCAACCTTCCATGGCTAGGTCCATCAGAGAGAAAGGCAAAGGCAGTACAAACCATCTCCCCTAGTTCACTGTGTCCTTGCAGGGTGAGCCCTTACTGTCCTGTTTCGTTTCAGAGAGCTCCCAGATTTCCCAAGCTGTGGCAACCTCTGCACAGTTGCTGTCTCCAGGATGGTTTTGGCCAGCACATCAGAGGACTGGGGTTTCAGAGGATCACCATGTTTTCCCCCTCCCTGCTGCCCTTCCTCCTCCTGGCCCCAGGGCTGCTGCCCTGTGCTCCACAGGAAGGAGCAGCCACCCCCTTCCTTGCACATGGGTTCCCGCACCTCCTCTTATGAAAGAATCAGCCTTTGAAAGAAGGGGAAATTAAAGAGACACAGTTCTTCAAAAATGTCTTTCTGATAGGAGGATTAAACTATTGGATAAATAGGCCCCAGTGCAGGCTGTAATACAAGACCTTTCTTCTTACTCTCTTCCCTGGTCAATCAGAGATGTTCATCCTCTCCCTACCAAGGCTCTGAGCTTTAATGCCTCTTTACAGCATGTCACTACAGTAAGAGATTAGGAAAGCCTGCAGGCACAACAACGAGATAAATAAAAAAAGATATTCACAACTGTTATTTAATTTCTTTCCAGGAGAACAGTTTCTTTAGTTCCCTTAATACGAAGCTCCAATAATCCTTATCTATTTGGAACCTAGACAGTATTAGTCCTCTGAAATTGTTGTAGTAATGTGTATAAATTATTCAGTGGTCATTTTCACTAAACAAACAAACATGCAAGAATTCTTTGATTCCACTTATAAGATAGTGTAAATACATTTTTTTTCAAAGTGGCTCCAAAGTAATACCATTTCAACAACACTGTCCCATGAATAGAAGTGGACAATTTCTTGATCTCTCTGTAGACTTTTAGGCGCTCAGCAATTTTCTTTAATTTCACTGAAGCCTTGCACCTGGAGATGGTAAGGAAATGTAGAAGTTTTTAACTTCTGTCAGTGTTGCTCAGGCCATTCCTCCTGTGGCCTAGCTGCTGTATAAAACCACATGAATGGCACTGTAATTGCTCAGATATCCAAAACCTGGTCATAATAAATTATTAATAATTAGTGCAACAATGAGTGGAGTGAAGACCTAGATGAAGATTTATGCTGACTCTGCTGTTGTTCTACTTCATTATGCAGCTCATCAAGGAAAGAGATTAGCAAAATCATTACCTTCTTCTTAGGAGGCAGTCACACTGCCAATGGAGGAGTCCCTTTCAATACAAAGATATTTATCCTGATAAAGGAGGCATTTAGGTCTTTATCAGTCATGGTATTTTGTGGCACAGTGCAGGCTCCAACCACTTCTCCATCGCCAGTATGGACTCCGACAACATTATTGACTCTATTGCCACTACATATGCAAGAAAAGCAGACCTCTGAGGACATCCACTAAGCTAAATTTTAATCTCTTTCCTTATCTGGCCTTGCACTGCCAACAAGAATGGTGGTTAGACAATGTGTGCCAAGAGAGTGCTTTTTAGCCTGACCAATGCAGTCTGATCCTTCCTGATAATTAACTTTTTGCTGCAGCTGTCTGATCTCCCCTCCCTTAATTTTCCAGTTCTGCACAACAAATGCTGTCCTTCATTATGACTGTACAGTGCCCAGACTAATGGCACACTAGGCTAAGGCTATCATTACTAAACTTATTTACTTGCCTCCTTGGGAAGCATGTCATCATATTTGGCATTTGTAAAGCACGTGCCATCAAAAGATCAGAACATGCTTCGGAAAGAAGAACAAACAAACAAACAAACCAGTCCCCAAACTTTTGTCTCTGCTCACAGGGCCAGAGTCCTTGTTGGTGCTGATTCTTTGCCAGGGAGGCGGATCCGCTGGCACGGCACCGCGTGGACCGAGGCGCCGTTCCCCTCGAGAAACTGTGCCAAAATGTGCTCCCAGCCATGTGCTGACTCACAGGCAGGGCTTTGAGCAGAAATTCAAGTTTCTTCTCCATCCCATAGTGATTTTTTTCTATCAGTGTACTGGAGAATTACAAATTGAGAAGCTAAGAAAAACGGTAAGTTTTTAGACTATTTTGAAGCTTGCGCAAATATACTAAGCACAACAATTTTTTCGATGCCTTAGTTAATAAAGACCAGGGTTTTAATAATGTGAGCAAATGACCAAACTGGATTGTGAACTAGGAATTTAACTAGAATTATTTCAGGGAAGCAAGAATGCCAATATTTATCCATATAGGATAGGTATGAGCAAAAAGATGTGCATTAACAGCGAGAAAACTGAAACATGCCAAAATTCTTGTCTTTTACCACAATAGTGGCCTTTCTGCTTTAGAATTTAATAATCTAATAACTTTTCAAAACGACCTATTATTTTAATTTTCTATATGCTATTAAGTACAAAAATAGAGAGTAGAAGATACAAACATAATAAGCTACACACAGAATATCTGCAGCTAATGCTACTGAAATACTCAGATTTCTAACTCTACCCCATTTTATCTCTCCTTTTCCTGAATTACTTGCTTTCAGGTACTTCTGTAGTGACAGACATGCCCGTATTTCTTCCTTCACACATGCTGGATGTGTCCCATGTTCTTATCTAAATAATTTTTCCAATGAAAGTAAGTACATCCATAATTGTCAGACACTGGCTAAAATTTTCACTCTTAAAAATATGTTTCTATTCTTTTATTGTAATTTGATGACTCAGTTGTCAGAGAGTTATTAGCAAATGAAATACAGAAGGAGCAAAATTTCCCAAAAGACAGCCAGAATTATTTATGCTATTAACCACATATGAATAGATATATATATATGATGGTGCTACAATTGCTGCTTTCCTTAATTGCCTTCTTTCAAATGTATCTGCCTGGTGAAGCAACTTTTCAGCCACAGGGAATCAGCACAATGTTTTCTGGCTGCACCTCACGAGGTACATAGAGACCCCACAAAGCCACGCTGGCTGCCACGTGTAACACTGCAAAGCACATGTGCAATGCTTGCTCCTGCATTTTACTCCCCTTGCTTGCTTGGTCATGGTCACTAAAAGGAGAGAGCCTGAATGAGTGGCATCTCCTGGAGAGCTTTTGACACCCTGAGCTCCATGAAATCCAGGAGGAGGCCCAGCGTTAGGAAAGCCTGACACAGCCCCTGAGTGCTCACACTCCCTGGAGCTTCCCCTTCAGGGCCAACTTCTCCATTTCTGTCCTCCTGCTTCTTCACACTATTACCACACCTTTTTTCACATCCAGAGTTCCCTCCTTTGCTTTCCACACCAGCACAGCTGACTGTGACTGCATATTTCCTCTGTGTCTGTATCACAGAGCATAAAAAGCATGAAATGGGAATTTCAGTCTGGTATGGAAGGAAAATTCAGAAATAAAAAAGAATGGACAGATATTTCAGTGAATGACTGTAACTTCTGAAATGTTTACTGATCAGCTGAACAAAGGAAAATGCAA